AATTTTTGATGAAACCTTAACCAGCCAACGCCAAAACGGCAAGAAGACTGGAACACCGAGCCTCAGGCCGAGGAAGCCCTTTTGAGAGCCTTAGAGAATTAGAATTATTATTAGTTTTCATTCAAACTGAATTAAATTTTAACAAATTTTTGATGAAACCTTAACCAGCCAACGCCAAAATGGCAAGAAGACTGGAACACCGAGCCTCAGGCTGAAGCCCTTTTGAGAGCCTTAGAGAATTAGAATTATTATTAGTTTTCATTCAAACTGAATTAAATTTTAACAAATTTTTGATGAAACCTTAACCAGCCAACGCCAAAACGGCAAGAAGACTGGAACACCGAGCCTCAGGCTGAAGCCCTTTTGAGAGCCTTAGAGAATTAGAATTATTATTAGTTTTCATTCAAACTGAATTAAATTTTAACAAATTTTTGATGAAACCTTAACCAGCCAACGCCAAAATGGCAAGAAGACTGGAACACCGAGCCTCAGGCTGAAGCCCTTTTGAGAGCCTTAGAGAATTAGAATTATTATTAGTTTTCATTCAAACTGAATTAAATTTTAACAAATTTTTGATGAAACCTTAACCAGCCAACGCCAAAACGGCAAGAAGACTGGAACACCGAGCCTCAGGCCGAGGAAGCCCTTTTGAGAGCCTTAGAGAATTAGAATTATTATTAGTTCTCATTCAAACTGAATTAAATTTTAACAAATTTTTGATGAAACCTTAACCAGCCAACGCCAAAACGGCAAGAAGACTGGAACACCGAGCCTCAGGCTGAAGCCCTTTTGAGAGCCTTAGAGAATTAGAATTATTATTAGTTTTCATTCAAACTGAATTAAATTTTAACAAATTTTTGATGAAACCTTAACCAGCCAACGCCAAAACGGCAAGAAGACTGGAACACCGAGCCTCAGGCCGAGGAAGCCCTTTTGAGAGCCTTAGAGAATTAGAATTATTATTAGTTTTCATTCAAACTGAATTAAATTTTAACAAATTTTTGATGAAACCTTAACCAGCCAACGCCAAAACGGCAAGAAGACTGGAACACCGAGCCTCAGGCCGAGGAAGCCCTTTTGAGAGCCTTAGAGAATTAGAATTATTATTAGTTTTCATTAAAACTGAATTAAATTTTAACAAATTTTTGATGAAACCTTAACCAGCCAACTCCAAAATGGCAAGAAGATTGGAACACCGAGCCTCAGGCCGAGGAAGCCCTTTTGAGAGCCTTAGAGAATTAGAATTATTATTAGTTTTCATTTAAACTGAATTAAATTGTAAAGAATTATTGATTAAAGCTTAACCAGCCAATGCCGAGATGGCAAGATTGGAACACCGAGCCTCAAGCCGAAGAAGCCCCTTTAAGAGCCTTAGAGAATTAGTATTATTATTAGTTTTCATTCCATCAGAATTAAATTTTAAAGAATTTTTGAACAAAGCTCAACCAGCCAACGCCAAAATTGAACCTCCGAGCCTCAACCGAATAGGTCCTTCTGGAAGCCGGGAGCCCTAAGAGCCTGACTGGTGAGAATCCAGAAGCAGACTGAAATGAAATTGCCGATAGCTGCAGATAGGAAACCGATATAAAGTTGATTAGAACGAACTTGAGTGAAGATATCGATAGAATTTGTGTTAAATCCGATTTATTTAGGGTGGCCGCTTGTAACATATTTAGTATACTTAAATAATTAAATATGATAGTATATTTGAAAATCGAATAAATAGAAGTTGGCCATAAATCTAGCCAACTTTTATGTCCATGTACAAACAGTCTATAAAACTCAATTTAAAATACATACGTATATAAATTAAACATACCATCATTCGCGGGCAACGAATATACATTATGTACATTCTCGAAATCACTTCAATTAACTGTTTGTATACGACATATGGACTTTCAAATAAGATAGATTAATGGCTGTGGGTTTCACAATTTTTTTTAGTATTCGATTTCCAAATATGCTAGATCTTCAATTTTACTTTTTCAAATATACCAAAAATATCGCAAACGGTCACTCTGAATAAATCGGACTTAACACAAACTGTATCGATATTTTTACTCAAGTTCGTTCTTACTGTTATCAATTGTATATCAGTTTCATTGGACTACTTAATTTCAGTCTGCTTCTGGATTCTCACCAGTCAGGCTCTTAGGGCTCCCGGCTTCCTATTCGGTTCAGGCTCGGAGGTTCAATCTTGCCATTTTGGAGTTGGCTGGTTAAGCTTTCAATAAATATTTTTTTCAATTTAATTCAGTTTGCTTGAAAACTAATAATAATTCTAATTCTGTAAGCCTCTCAAAAGGGCCTTCGTAGTGAGGTGGTTGCTGGTTAATTTTTCATCAAAAATTCTTTACAATTTAATTCAGTTAGACTGAAAACTAATAATAATTCTAATTCCCTAAGGCGCTCAAAAGGGCTTCAGCCTGAGGCTCGGTGTTCCAGTCTTCTTGCCATTTTGGAGTTGGCTGGTTAAGCTTATTATTATTATTTTCGGTAAAGAGACCCTGGCGGGACTGAGTATATCCCAGCCTACGAGACTTCTTTACAACTTTCAATGTTGTTTTGCGTCTGTTGTGTTTGCTTGCTGTGGCCGCTCGCTTGTGTTTTCCGTTTGTTGCTGTTTTTTGAATATAAAATAAACGACGCGCCGAAAGTAATTGTTATTTGTTCCCCGTGCCCCGTGTTTTCTTTTCGCGTCTAGTAGTCCTTGTGCCCGTCGAACGGAAGTGTCAAACTTTTTGGACTTTTTAGAGGTTGCTGGTTAAGCTTTCATCAAAAATTCTTTACAATTTAATTCAATTTCAATGAAAACTAATAATTATTCTAATTCTCTAAGGCTCTCAAAAGGGCTTCTTCGGCATGAGGCTCGGTGTTCCAATCTTCTTGCCAATTTGGAGTTGGCTGGTTAAGCTTATTATTATTATTTTCGGTAAAGAGACCCTGGCGGGACTGAGTATATCCCAGCCTACGAGACTTCTTTACAACTTTCAATGTTGTTTTGCGTCTGTTGTGTTTGCTTGCTGTGGCCGCTCGCTTGTGTTTTCCGTTTGTTGCTGTTTTTTGAATATAAAATAAACGACGCGCCGAAAGTAATTGTTATTTGTTCCCCGTGCCCCGTGTTTTCTTTTCGCGTCTAGTAGTCCTTGTGCCCGTCGAACGGAAGTGTCAAACTTTTTGGACTTTTTAGAGGTTGCTGGTTAAGCTTTCATCAAAAATTCTTTACAATTTAATTCAGTTTCAATGAAAACTAATAATTATTCTAATTCTCTAAGGCTCTCAAAAGGGCTTCTTCGGCATGAGGCTCGGTGTTCCAATCTTCTTGCCATTTTGGAGTTGGCTGGTTAAGCTTATTATTATTATTTTCTGTAAAGAGACCCTGGCGGGACTGAGTATATCCCAGCCTACGAGACTTCTTTACAACTTTCAATGTTGTTTTGCGTCTGTTGTGTTTGCTTGCTGTGGCCGCTCGCTTGTGTTTTCCGTTTGTTGCTGTTTTTTGAATATAAAATAAACGACGCGCCGAAAGTAATTGTTATTTGTTCCCCGTGCCCCGTGTTTTCTTTTCGCGTCTAGTAGTCCTTGTGCCCGTCGAACGGAAGTGTCAAACTTTTTGGACTTTTTAGAGGTTGCTGGTTAAGCTTTCATCAAAAATTCTTTACAATTTAATTCAGTTTCAATGAAAACTAATAATTATTCTAATTCTCTAAGGCTCTCAAAAGGGCTTCTTCGGCATGAGGCTCGGTGTTCCAATCTTCTTGCCATTTTGGAGTTGGCTGGTTAAGCTTATTATTATTATTTTCTGTAAAGAGACCCTGGCGGGACTGAGTATATCCCAGCCTACGAGACTTCTTTACAACTTTCAATGTTGTTTTGCGTCTGTTGTGTTTGCTTGCTGTGGCCGCTCGCTTGTGTTTTCCGTTTGTTGCTGTTTTTTGAATATAAAATAAACGACGCGCCGAAAGTAATTGTTATTTGTTCCCCGTGCCCCGTGTTTTCTTTTCGCGTCTAGTAGTCCTTGTGCCCGTCGAACGGAAGTGTCAAACTCACCAGTGCTAGTCGCCCCAGTTGTGCAGTCAGTAGGACCACATTAACGGGACCACATTTAATTCAGTTAGACTGAAAACTAATAATAATTCTAATTCCCTAAGGCGCTCAAAAGGGCCTCTTCGGCTTGAGGCTCGGTGTGCTAATGTTCTTGCCATTTTGAAGTTGGCTGGTTAAGCTTTGTTCGAAAATTCTTTAAAATTTAATTTAATTTGAATGAAAACTAATTATAATTCTAATTCTCTGAAGCTCTGAAAAGGGCCTGTTAACTGGCGGTTCGGAATCTCATCTTTTTCTTGGGCATTTTAGCGTTGGCTGGTTAAGCTTTGTTCGAAATTTCTTTAAAATTTAATTTAGTTTGAATAAAAACTAATTATAATTCTAATTCTCTAAGGCTCTCAGAAGGGCCTTTTTGTCTGATTGCTTAGAGTTTCGTATCTTTCTTGGCATTTTGGCGTTGGGTGGTGAAGCTTTGTTCGAAGTCTTAAAAATTTGATTTAGTGAAAACTTATAATAATTCTAATTCTCTAACTTGTCGATTTTTCTCAAATGGGAGATGGCTAGCAGGCGATCGGGAACAAACAATATCTTAGCAGCAGACGGTCAGAGCTGACGGAAAGCCATCAGAATTATAAAGCAGTTTTAACAGAAAATTTTGTCAAATTTTACATGAATTTTGTAAATTCATTACGAATTGAGATAGCAACTGTGGCCATTGCAGAGGGGACATTTTGTATGCACAAGCATTTTTTCCAAGTTATTTCTAAGCGAATGGTTTTGATGATAGCATGAAATTGCCGCGTACATCTGAAATTATCGATAGAATTATTTTTAAAACGATTTACTCAGAAATACCGCTTGGAATAATTTTGGTATATTTGAAAGAGTAAAAATGGTACACGTGGTATTTTTAAAAATGGAATGGCGGAATTATATATACTTTTCAGTATATAAATACTGTAAATCCCAGCGAAAGTGCTGGGAAAAATTGCCTACAACCGGAGATTTTAACCAACAACAACAACAACCGCACAACAAACGACAGTCTGGAAAAAATTAAATTAATTTAAATTAAATTTTAATATTAATTTCATAAAATCGTGGCAATGTGCGTCAGGGAAACGGCAGCGATTTTCTTCGCGGAACCCGAACTGGTGGTCGGCCTTGGCCGCAGGGTGCTGTTCGTGAACCCCGACGACCTGCAGATATTCAAGGAGATCGAGCTGCCGCCCGACCTTGCTGCTGCTGCCGGCAAGCAGTCGGAGGAAAAGGCTTCCGGATCTGGAGCGGGAACGGGAAACGGAAACGTTGCGGTGCAGAACGTGGCCTACTCGCCAGATGGACAGCTGCTGGCCGTGACCACCAGTGGGGGGCAGAAGGCGCTCCTGCTCTATCGCACGCGGCCAGAGAACGCCCGCCTGCTCTCCGCCCGCCCTCTCGCCCGGGCGGCCAGTGCCCTGCGCTTCTGCAGCGACAGCAGCTCCGTCCTGGTAACGGACAAGACGGGCGATTGCTACCAGTACGACTGCGTCGAAGTGGAAGCCGTTCCGCGCCTGCTGCTTGGCCACCTGAGCGTGGTGTACGACATCCTGTGGTCGGAGGACCAGCAGCACATCATAACCTGCGACCGGGATGACAAGATACGCGTGACCAACTATCCAGCCACCTTCGACATCCACAGCTATTGCTTGGGCCACCGCGAGTTCGTCTCGGGGCTTGCCCTGCTCACTGACCGGCATATCGCCTCCGCCTCGGGGGACAAGACGTTGCGCGTCTGGAACTACATCCAGGGTAAGGAGCTGCTGCAGCACGAGCTGCCCGCCCCGGCGGTTCGTCTGCTGGTGCGGCAGCTGGAGCCGGAGAAGGTATACCAGGCGGCGGTGCTTTTCTACGATCACGTGGACGCCCTGGGACTGTACCGCTTGGAGCGCAGCTCCGCCGACGACACCTGGAGCGTCACGGCCACGCAGCTGGTGCGTGCTGAGGCGGGCTCCTGGAATATTAGCAACTTTACTTTAACCGCCGACAGGATCTACGTCACCGGCGCTGAGAACGAGCGATTGAGCCTGCGGGTCTACGACATCGCCACTGGCCAGCGGACGACCAGCGGGGTGCCCGAGGGCTGGCTAAAGATGGTGCTAGACGGCCTGGGCGCCACCGAGGAGGGAGGACCTCCCTTCATTCCCGAGGACCTGTCCGTTTGGTTCAAGAAGCGCTTCGACAACGTCAGCGACTATCTGGAGCGCAAGAAGCGGCGCATCGAGGAACAGCAGCAGCAGAAGTGCGGCTAGTCCCGAAGAGGAAACTCCAAAGTAAATCACATTGAACCCTAATGTTTACATAGCATTTAATTAGCATATGGAGCAGATGCAACGGACTATGTGTGACAGGCCTGTTGTTGGCATAATAATATATATCTGTATATGTGTGTAAAAGTGGTTAATGGTTATCTCTACGGGCGGTGGGGTGTGTTCTCTCTAGACGGGCTTGTAGTCCAGCTTGCTCTCCAACTTCTTGTTGTCCGACACCTTGCGCACCGCCTTCATGAAGTCCTCCTGGATGACGTACTCCCGCTCGGCACTGGATTAGAACAAGATTCTCGTTAGCTAATGGATTTGGGGGGCAGAGGAGGAGCTTACCGGATGGCAAAGAGACCCGCCTCCGTGCACACATTACGCAGATCCGCGCCGTTGAAATTGTCCGACAGCTTTACAATGGCCTCGTAGTCGATCTCTCCATGCTTGGCAATCTTCAGAGCGTGAATCTTGAGGATTTCCAACCTATAATAAAGGAGGTTTCATATTTATTATCAGTACTATAAATCTAATGAAGGAAACCCTCTATGTTTCACTCACCTGGCCTGCTCGTTGGGCAGTGGAATCTCGATCTTCCTGTCCAAGCGACCGGGACGCAGCAGGGCGGGATCCAGGGTGTCCGGACGGTTGGTGGCCATGATCATCTTGACCTGGCCCAGAGAATCGAAGCCGTCCATCTGGTTGAGCAGCTCCATCAGCGTGCGCTGGATCTCGCGATCGGCGGAGGTGCCCTCGGAGAAGCGCCGACCGCCGATGGCGTCGATCTCGTCCATGAAAATGATGCAGGGCTGGTGATCGCGGGCATAGTTGAACATCTCGCGAATGAGGCGGGCGCTCTCGCCGATATACTTGTCCACAATCGCCGAGGAGACGACCTTCAGGAAGTTGGCGTCCAGCTGGGAGGCCACGGCGCGGGCCAGGAGCGTTTTGCCGGTGCCAGGCGGTCCGTACAGTAGACACCCCTTGGGCGGCGTGATGCCGACGCGCAGGAAAAGCTCCGGATTGAGGAGGGGCAGCTCGATGACCTCGCGCAGCTCGCGGATCTGCTCGGTGAGGCCTCCGATGGCCGAGTAGGTGACATCGCCGGGGTCCTCGTGCGACATGTTGTACACCAGGGGGTCCACCTCGCGTGGCAAGTACCGCATGATGGTCAGCGTGGTCATGTCGAGGGCAACACGGGTGCCCGACTTGAGCTTTGCCTTGTCCAGCTGCCGGCGGCAACCGACCACATAGCGGGGTCCATTGGTGGCCTTCACAATGACTGTGGGGAGCGGGGACAAAGGATTAGAGTAAGGGCAATCACGCGGGAAACAAAGGAGACTCACATTTATCCTCCGTCAGCTGCTTCAGCACCTCGCCCACGATCTGTCCCACGCTTTGCAGGGCCTTCAGGTCGTTCTCCGACTTGTCGTAAGCCTTGGTAAGCTCCTTGATCTCCTCCCGCTCTGAAAATAGCCATTGTTAGTCGCATTTCTTGAGTAGGATTGAATTGGCCAAAGGAGACGCACTTTCTTTGAGGCGTCCCTCGATCTCCTTGTGCTCCAGCAGCTTCTTCCTGTAGTCGGAGAAGGCTTTCACCCGCAGATTGTCGGGCAGCGGCGTGGCGGTCACGGTCATCTTTCTGGTGGATTAGATTTGTTTTTCACTCTCTTAAACTAAATTCAGTTAAACGCCGAAAAGTGAATTGCACTTTTTGTTAGAGGTGGACAAACATCGATGTTAGCTAGGGATGCAAAAACATCGATGTCACTATCGATACTATCGATGTTTTTTAAAACAGCGATGTATCGATGCTTTTTTTCGAACATCGATGTTATCACTAAGAGATACACACGCAAAGCAAGTGGTACGTAAATTGGGAAAAAGTGCACATTTTTCCATTTTATTAAGTATTGTTACAGTTTGATACAGGTAAAACATATTAGGGCGGTTCCTCTCGGCACAATGGACAGGTTTCTGCACATAACAAGTAAGTTCCAGTCGCAGCAGTTGTTATTTCATAATTTTAACACTGTATTGCGTTTTAGACCACGTGTCTGCTGCTTCGTCGTCTGCTCCAACGTCTGCTGCTTCGTCGTCTGCTCCAACGTCTGCTCCAACGTCTGCTGCTTCGTCGTCTGCTCCAACGTCTGCTGCTTCGTCGTCTGCTCCAACATGTGCTGCTTCGTCGTCTACTCCAACGTCTGCTGCTTCGTGGTCTGCTCCTTCTACGTCTGCTGCTTCTACGTCTGCTCCTTCTACGTCTGCTGCTTCGTTGTCTGCTTCTTCTACGTCTGCTGCTTGGTCCTCTGCTGCTTCGTCCTCAGCTCCTGCGTGTGCTGCTATTTTGGAAAATGATGATTTGGAATTTGGCTTTGAGCCCCCAGATTGTAGAAAACGCAAGAAAACCGGATCAGATGTATGGAAATATTTTGAGAGGTGCAAGAACAAAATGTTTGCCAAATTTCGGTTTTGCGGAAAGGAGTATAAAACTTCCGGCAATACAACAAATTTATCCGATCATCTAAGGCGCCTTCATCCATTGAAAGTATCAGTAAGTACAGAAAACGCAATGAAAATGGACAATTTTGTTTTACGATCTGATGCGTACGACCCAAAATCATCCAGAAAGATTGAACTTGATAAATGTCTCGCTAAAATGGTGTCGTCAGATATTCAGCCGTTCAGCATAGTAGACGACAATGGGTTTAAAAATTTTATAAAATTACTCGATCCAAAGTACATTTTGCCCAGCCGTACTACATTGCAGAATGTGGTCACAAAAAATCTTTATGAAGAAGCGCTATCCAAATTAAAGGGTAAGCTGAGTACGGTCCAATATTGCTCATTAACAACGGATTGTTGGACGTCTCGTTCAAACGCCAGTTACCTAACGTTGACGTGCCACTTTATTGAAAATTTCGAGCTAAAAACGGTTGTTCTAGCCACACAGCCGTTATTAGACCAAACCAATCACTGCAGTGACAATATTGCAGGAACTATAAAAGCAATTTGCATGGACTTTGACATTTTTAATAAAGTGGTAACTATTGTAACGGACAACGCAGCTTCTATGAAAAAGGCCTGTGAGAATTTGCAAAAAAAGCACCTGGGTTGTTAAGATATAGTTAAGATATAGATATCGATTAGATAAGTAAGATAAGTAAGAACTGAACTGAACTGAACTGAACTGAACTGAAGTGAACTGAACTGAAATAATGTGATTCCATTTTTCTTTATGATTTCGTTAAAATATGTATTAAGATTATGCTTTTTTATTTGTTTCTGAAAATATTGTTGTTGTTTTGTTTGAATAAATATAAGTTTATAATAAGTTTCATAAAAACAATATTTTAATTAATATTTGGAGGGTTTTATGGTATATATTCATAAATTGAAGAAAATTTCGATGTTTTTAGCGAAATTTCGAGGTTTTAGCAAAATTTCGATGTTTTCGCGAAATTTCGATGTTTTAGCGATATATCGATGCTTACAAACATCGATGTTGAAAACATCGATGTACTCACTATCGATGTTTTTGCATCCCTAATGTTAGCAACGATGTTTTCAAAACATCGATGTTTTTCCACCTCTACTACTGAAATCGAAGAGGAAGCAAGAGAACTATCGACTGTCGTTAAGGACGCTACGGTGGATTCTTACCATGGAAGTTATATTTACCATAAGTATTTATACCACTCCACTTGTTCCTTTTGCTAGTTTTAAGAAAATCGATTTCTCCGCCATTAATTGCAGAAATAGATACAAATTCAGGATGAAAATACCATTTAGACAGTATATTTCTTACCATATTTTGGTATATACCAAATACCGAAAAGGTTGATGTACTTGCTAACCGGCAATATTCTTGCTGGAATCCAATCACCCAAAACAGAGCACCAGGATCAGGATTATGTACAACTTACGACTGCTGCGGCGAATCGTCCCCAGCGCCGGCCACCCACACCCACGCTGGATGGCCAGCCAGCACAAGCGGCGCCCCCAGCCGGGCAGCCTGCCACCGGATCGGCTGGAGCAGCTGCGCAGCGATCTCTTCGAGCATCGCCAGGAGCTGAGCGCCGCGGAGTGGACGGACGTACGCCAGTCCCTGGTGGACGGCTACAAACACATCAACGGGCATAACGTGGACGCCGTGATCCTGGGCGTGTGCAGTGGCCCACGACAACTCCCGCTGGCCAAGAACTATGTGGAGTTCCTCCGCAGTCGGGGCTCCCAGCCGAATGCAGCCACCCTGGGTCGCCTGCTGCGGGTCTACAATGCCGCCTACCACGAACGACCGCTCAGCGAGGCGGAACGGGCCGAGATCTTGCTGATCTGCAGGACCCTGCAGGCGGAGCACGAAACTCTGGACGCCAGCAGCTGTGAGCACATCATCCACGGACTGGTGGCCACAGAGGGCGACGATTGGCACGGAGCCCTACCGCTCCTCGAGATGATGAAGGTCACCACCAGTGCGCCCAGCGTGGCCGCCTACTCTGCGCTGGCGGGGAAGGCTTTTAGTGTGGAGACGGAGCAGGCGCAGGAGATGGCCTGGCGCCTTCTGGAGGAAATGGCCACGGCCCGCAAGCTACCCAAATGTGAGGTCTATCTGGCGCTGCTCAATCGCCTGGCCAACGAAACTACCCAGCTACCCGCCCAGCTTAATCGACTCTTGGACTTCCTCGAGCGCCATGAGATTCTAGTCAGCCAGCGGGTGGCAGAGCGATTGCAGGAGCTGGCCCAGCAGGTGCCGCAACTCCTCGAGGCCAGAGCAACCAGTCTGGGACCGCTGGGCAAGTGCCAGTCCTGTCAGCAGCACCTCCAGCCGGTGGCCATCAGCGATGAGCAGTTCCGGCGGCTCAGCGAGTGTTTCCTGGAGCGCGTGCTCATACGACGCGATGTCTTCCAGCGATCCACGCCCGAAGAGGTGGCCAGGTTCAAGAAGTACGTGGCCAAGACAGCTCCCTACGATTGTGTGATTGATGGCCTTAACGTGGCCTACTCGACGGGCACCAAAAAGTCGCCCCAGCAGCTGGCCAAGCTGGTGGCCACTGTGGTGCGGCACTTTCGGGATCAGGACAAGCGTGTCCTGGTCCTGGGACGCGAGCACATGCGCAACTGGTCCAAGCAGGCCATGCACTATGTCCAGAGCAACGCCAGCCTCTTCCTCACCAGCAATCTGTAAGCATGTCCGCCACCAAAGAGAATGAGAGGCAGAATAACTGGTTTCTTACCCACACACAGGTCGCACGACGATCCCTTTCTGCTGTATGCCACGTTGCGCAGCGGCCAGGACACAGACTTCTTCTCCCGCGACCTGATGCGCAGCCACGCCTTCCACCTGGGGCCCGAGCTAAAGCCCGTCTTCCGACGCTGGCAGCAGGAGCACCAGTTCTCACTGGTCACCCAGACGCAAACGGGTCGAATTATAGTCAAGGAGCCCATTCGCCACCGACTGAATGCCCACGAAGTGTCGGGCACCTGGCATGTGCCCTACTGCGAGGCGTACACCCAGCACCCCACGGAAAGCTTCGAGGTGCCCGCCAATTGGCTGTGCCTCAAGCTAAAGGAGCCAAAGGAAACACCCACCAAATCGACAAAGGGAAAGGCGGAAAGGTGACTGTGTAAACACTTTAAGTGAGAAGCCGAAGATTAACAAATATATATACTGGATGAGCCGTCCTAGACACGAAATCCTAGTCGCAATCATAGCGGGTGCACTTCTCGAAGGCTCCAAGGCCCTGTGGCTGGGGCTTCTTGCGGCGGCGCTCGTACATCAGCTTTTTCTCGGCGGCGCACATGAGCCGCCGCTTGATGTGGTTGTCCATCTCGAAGTCCATGTCCGCAGGCTTGACCAGCTCGTTGGGATCCCGTGTGGCGGCCGAGTCCAGGGCCTTGATGATCAGACTGAGCAGAGCGTGCGCCAGGCGATGGCACACATCGTACTCAATGGCGTCCTGGCTGGTGTAGTAGATGGCCGACTGCGAGGTGGGCTGCACACCGATGGCCAGCAGGATGTTGCAGAAGATTCCGCGCTGCATGCGCGCATATGGATCGACCAGCTGCGGCGGAATCCGCATCGTGGTGGCCAGATGGGCGATGAACTTGGCAAACTTCTTGATGAGCACGTTCAGGTACTGGGTGCGGCACTGGCGCTCCAGCTTGGTCAGCATGTTGTAGTAAAGTTCCTGCTTGCGCTTCAGGAAGTCCTCCTTCTTTCGCTCCTTGGTCTTGTTGCTCTTGAGGATCTCCTCCAGCTGCCTGCAAGTTTGGGGAATTTGGAGTGACGAGCTTAGCACCTGGATTGGCTGCACTTACTCGGTGGTGATGGCATTGTATTTGCCCAGCATCCGCTTGATGCGCTTGGCCCGCAGCTTGGGATCGTAGACGTCCTTGAACTGCTCGTAGTTGTCGATGAGCGTGTGCATCTTCGGCTTGGACAGGGCCACATCGTAGGGCTTCACCTTGGGCGGCATGGCCGGCTGGTAGGCCATGCGGCGCACGTAGGACTGCAGCTTGGCCAGGTTCTCCTCCTGACGCTTCTTCACGTTTTCCTCGGCGCACACATCCGGATCCTCCTCCTCGGGCAGCGAGTCCGTCGACGTGGGCAGTGGCTCATCCCAGTCCGAGACATTGGAGCTGGCCATGGCTGGAGATTGGTGGTGGTCAGAACGGCGCGATCAATTTGCACGTATTGAGAATTTGGCTGATGCTTGGGAGTGTGAATGCAGGAAAAATTTTCTGAATCTATTTTTCTACGAATAATTTTGGAAAACGAGAGCACTAACAATTTGATGTATTCGCGTCGGGGAAACTGAACACCTTATGAGCAGTCCCAGTTGAAATGGGTGTGAGGAAAAACCTCCGGGCTACTAGGTCGGAAATTATAGGTACCCCAAGTTATGGGTCTCATTATAGGGATCTAGTTATACTTTTTCAAAAAATACACATTATATATTTAATATAATACCAAATTTTAGCAATATTAAGTTAGCAATACAGAACAGATAGTATCCGAAAGCATGGAATTACAATGGTTTAAAGGATGAAATAAAAATAGAAATTAAAAGTATCTAGGTAAATATTTAAAATAGGGAGTTCTAGAAACTTGTACAAAAATGAAGAATCGGGATCAAGTTAAATTAAATACAAAGATACAGCATATAAAACTCCATTAATTAAGGTAAATCTCAAACTTTTTTCCTACAATAAGCCTTGAATAATTCAACAATGTATGTTTGTAAAACGGGGAATTCCCTAAACACATATTTTAACTATAGACTATTTATAGGATCTTACGATTCACATTAACATGGATGGGATAAGACATTCCAGAATGTTTACAATTAAATAAGCAACGTTTTATTACAATAACCAGTGAAATTACGGACTAATGTTAGTAGCACTCGTTCTGCACGGATCTCTCCAGGGCGAACGTGTACTCCTCGGCCAGCTCGTCCACGGACATCTGGCGTGTGAGGAGCGCCAGGATGCTGTCCACCTGCATCTGGGTGCTGGCATAGCGATCCTTGCTAGCCAGGCCGGGTGCCAGCTCGAAGGGAATGTCCTGCAAGTAGTTGACGGGTCCTTGGGCCCCAGGGAGCTTCATCGCAGCTCCAGCCCCGGCTCCCGGCCCACCGCCCCTGGCTCCTGGCATTGGTGGGTAAGGCAGATAGCCCACCGGCGGCATGGGCGGGTACATGGCGCCGGAAATGGAGGCTGCGGACGGAGGAGGAGCATCCGGTCCGGGCCTCCGCTCTATGAACACGAAGTCATCGCCACTGGTGCCTGGACGGGATCCCTCCGCCGGCCCCTGGATGGGCTGATCCTCCGTGGGTGTCTCTGCGGGCTTGCGCTTCCCGAAGATGGAGAACATTGCTCAAGTTCTGTTGTTTAGTCAATTGGCGAATTGCGTCGTCGGCCAGCTGAGATGCGTCGATTGCCAGTAGTGCTGCTAGTTTGGCGGGTTTACGGACAGATCGGTATGTCAAGTAATGACTCTTTTGTCAAATATGATAATTTGGAATTTCTAAATTTTATGCTGATCTTTACTAATGATCTATAGAAACAAGCCTGCTTGAATGTTTATTAATACATTACTATATGTGATTTTAAGACAGTTTGGCTGTTACCATGAATTAGATTGGCTATAGCTTGAATGGGACTTGGACCATTTTCTTTGTTACTCACGAATCTAAACTTTAAACTTTAGTTTTTCTTTGACTTTTACTACTTAAAACCAATACTATATTTTAAGATTTGAATATGAATGGTGTATTAGCAAATAATATTTTGGTTTTGAAAAAAAAAACACTTATGAGGTATATTATTCCAAAGCCGAAAGAATTGATGTACAAATTGTGTTGGGTAAAATGAGCCAGTTGAAAAGTAGCTAGATGCGGAGTGAAATGGCGTCAGCACTGGATATCCGTTAATCGCCTATCGATAGGATGCGCAGGGCTGCACAGCGAAAATACTGAATATACCGAATACCCCGCCTCCGCCACCAAGGGAAGTGAAGAGTTGCTTGCCGAGATTGATTGTGTACACCGGATAAGAGGAGCCAGCGAAAAAGATGTCTAAAGTGGACCAGGACCCAAATGCCTCGCTGAGCATCATGGAGGTGAGTGCGTCCCAGGGACGCTGACCAGCTGCCCGGCTCCCGCCGAACGCTTGGTGCTCCAATTCCGATTGGCGGGGTCGCTCAAGAGATGCCACATTAGCTTAACGCACGCATCCGCCTCCAACTCCCTTCTCCTCACGCAGCAAATCAAGCAGCTCATCCGCCCGCCGCCCAACGAGGACGAGAAGCTGGTTCAGCGGAGCACCAACACGAAGCATCCGTATTACAGGAGGCCGGGAAGGGGCCATAACCACGACTACTGCGACGCCTGCGAGGAGGGCGGCAATCTGCTGTGCTGCGACCGCTGCCCCTCCAGCTTCCACCTGCAGTGCCAGTGAGTGTTCATGTGATTTAGTGCTGTCTCCTCCAGTGTCTTATCCTCTATCCTCCTCCGTTTCATCCTAGTGATCCTCCGCTGAGCGAGGAGGACATACCCAGTGGCCAGTGGCTGTGCCACAGCTGCCGGATGGCCAAAGTATCCCAGCCGCCGGCCTCCTCCTCCAAGGCCAGCTCCGTGGAGCGCGTGCCGTCGGCGGGCAGTGGCTCCAGGGCCAACACACCCTCCTCCGGCGACCTGGAGTCCATACCACTGAAGATCCGCAATCTGCGCAAGCGCAGCAACAGCGAACGCAACAGCACCGAGAAGCTGCTGGCCAAGATGCCGCTGGCCATACAGCGCGCCCTCGATCCCAACAAGAAGCCGACGCCGCTGGACGATGTCATCAGGGCGGCCAGCATGCTGAATCCGCAGCAATTTTCACTGCCACCGGAACTGGAGCTGCACACCCAGTTCCCGGGCAACGGCAAGGTGCAGCCCGTCCAGCAGCCGCATCCGCCGAGCGGGAACGGTGGTCATCGCAAGTGCGCCGGCAATCAGCGCCGCAATTCCAAGCCCTTCGAACTGGACGCCCAGGGACTGGTGCCGTTGCCCGCCAAGACCTGTTTCTACTGCACGCGCTCCTGCAAGCGGGCGCCGCTCATCTCCTGCGACTACTGTCCGCTCTACTACCACCAGGACTGCCTGGATCCTCCACTGACGGCACTGCCAGCTGGATTGTGGATGTGCCCCAACCATGTCGAGAACTTCATTGTAAGATAATCCCCTTCATAGAAGCCTTCCCTAGTTTTAATGCGGATATCTCTGTTTGTAGGATGCCAATATGACCAACAGCATCTCGGCCACGGAGCGGGTGCGCCTGTGGAATCGCTTCCACCAGCCGCTTGACCATGAAAACGTCAAGCTGGAGTTCTTCCGGCGTGTCAACACTCGCCATCCGCCCTACCGCACCAGGACGAACGTGAGTGCCCGCGCTCACATCGAGGTGCCAGCCATTGTGCGCTACCACTACGAGCATCCCCCGGCGCTGCTGCCCTCCATGCGCCAAACGCTGCGCTACGATCGGGTGAAGCGGCGCAAGAACCTGCCCACCGAAGTCGAGGAGATCTCCCGCGAGTCGGTCACCGAATCGCTGCTCAAAGATCTGGAGGCCCTGCGTTCGGCTCGTGCCAAGTTCCGTGAGATCCAGCGGGAATACGGCACCGTGGAGACGGCGGTCGAGGGGGATAGCGATAGCGATCCCAGTCCCGAGGAGCCGGAGTCTGAGACGAACTCGCCCGGCGACAAAGTTAATGGTGGAGTGGATTCGGAGATGCCCAAAACGGATACGGATGCGCTGACCAACGAACAGCCGTCGGTTATCAAGGTGGAGTCCAAGGCCAGCCTAGAGCTGGAGATCAGCTTCGAGGAAGACGAGGAGGACAGCAAGGCGGGCATCATCGACGCGGACCTCTTCCACCTGGACGTCGATATTATCAAGAAGCTAGCGCACCAGCGATTGCAGCAGCTGGTCGAGGAGCATCCGGAGATTGTGACGCAGTACAAGAATCGCACGGCCACCCGCCGGCTGCGTCAACTGGCCGCTACCGAAGGATCAGATGCGGCCGGAGGAAACACCACCGCGCTTCAGGGTCAATTGGCGCCGGAGGACATGAATCGCTTCTCGCTGCTGTTCACCAGCGAAACGTCCTCGATACTGGCGCAAAAGAACGGCAATGCCGCCGACGAGGATCCCGCCATGGCCCTGCACCCGGCTTTGGCCACGGCGGCGGCCATTGCGGCAGCGGATGCGGCTGCCGAGAGCTATGTGCCACGTGCCCGCAGCGACACGGAGAAGGCCTACGAGCTGGCCTCGCGTCTGGAGCTCAAGCTGCTGCAATGCAAGGTGCAGGCGCGGGCGGTGATCACCCCCCTGGGCGACATGCTCGAGGACAGCCGCTGGTTCAGTTCGCTCGGGCTGGACCATTCGATTTTCATGCGCTACCGCACGCTGTACATCGGCTACGGCGGCCACTACTCCCCGTCGACAACGCTGGCGCAGACGGAGACCGTGGACCTGTCGGCGATTGGCTACTGCTGCCGCATTTCGCCGCAGCACGCCATCATCTTCTACGACGAGTTCTCCAAATCGTACGAACTGATCAACTACTCGGAGTTCGGCACAGAGGTCAATGGGCAGCTGTACGCCTGCGATCTGACCGACAGGATGCCCACGCATGCCGGCAAGCGGATGCGACCGGACGATGCGGAGCTGAAGAGGCGAGTCGACGACCTGCTGGACAAGCGGCGGCACATCCATCGCCAGTTGGAGCCCAAGAAGATGGGCAACGAGCGGTAGCTAGAGAGTACTTCTATCCAGTTGAATGAAAATAACGTGTGTATTCTCCCTGTTCCCTGTTCAGATTGGCGCCCATTGTGAAGCCCGCCTGCCGCTGCACGAACGCCGATCCGGTGCCCATGGTGGCCGGCGCCTGGGAGGGATCGGCGGTGCTGGCCCACGGCACCCTGCTGCGGTTCGGCTGCCTGTCCTTTGTATTTTCGGTGCCATCGCTGGACCTGCTGCAGGCGCAGGCACGGAACAAGCGATCCTAGGACCAAGACATCATGCGCAGCACTTAGTTTTATGACAAACACACACAGAAACGCGATCGACCGCAGCCAACTCCAGTGGAGCAGCACCAATCTCAGTGGGGCAGCTAGCAGCCAGGCATAGGGTTAGGGTTAGCAATCAATTCAATTTCATCGCAATCAACTTGGCAATTTACAGCCTCGGCTTCACCTTTTTAAATCACCCAAAATCCACCCATCCTAGTTATAAGCTGACAATCGCGCCCTATGATTACTGCAGTAAGTATGGAGTTTGCGTTCGAAGGGAGCCCAAACTCTGTATCTACTGAACTAAGCATTGTGTCCATGGACCGGGGATCAACCTCAACGGATCCATACCCATATTAAGTGTAAATCTAATTGTATAAATTGCTAAAATGAAATAAACTTGTAAGA